AAAACCCCATTTGCACCTCTATGCCCTTTGCAGCAACATCCACAATAGCCAAAATCTGAAAACAATCCAAATATTCAAGAATATATGACTGGATAAAGTAAATTTGGTACATACACACAATGCACTGTTACTGTACCATAAGATCAAGTCATTCATTCAGTTTGCTGCTACGTGGAGGGAACTGGAGAGTATCTTGCTGAGTGAAGTTAGAGAAACCAAGTAAGAGTGATCTCTCTCATATGCGGAGTATAAGGAAACATAATGGGGGAATAATGAATGTCCAAAGACAATAGAAACGAAGAATATGAGAACTGATATTCAGTAGGAAACATACCACATGAGGGGGCTGGTGAATAGGAGAGGGAGGGAAAAATGACTATGGTGGAGGGAAGTTAAACTAGGAGGAGGAGGTTTCTGAAAAGGTAGTAAAGTCCTGTTATGTACTAAACCTTATCGGCAATAGCACTGTCATCCACAATGCAAAAAAAAACTTATATGTTAAAAGTGCCCCTCATAGATTTGGACAGGTGGATAGAAGCAAATGGGGGGAAAGAGGAAATTGATGAAGGAAAGTGGGCACTGGTGAGGGGATCTGTGTTGAAACAATGTATGTCTGAAACCAGATCATGAATAAATTTGTATTCCCTATGGTGGCTAAAAATTTAAAAAATTAAAATAAAATTTAAAAGAATTATTTGTAATTAGTATACCAAAACCCAATTCTTCTTTATGTAAACTGGACTGTAGTTTAAAATTGTATGTAAATGTTCCTAATATAATTTATACCTAATACATTTTACTTTTATTCAAAAAATATTGCATTATGACATTGCAGAAGTTTTGAAGTGTGCATTATTAAACAATGCATTTATATACTTCATTAAGTTCAAGCTAACAGACATACTGTACCCTTAATGTGTCTTCTGTTTAATGTGGGGGAAATTCATTTTTTCTTAATTAATAATCCTAGAAAACTGTTTTCAAATGATTCAATTTATGGTCTACTTAAAATATTACAAAATCTGAATGAGCATAGTCAAATTAATGAAGTGTGATCAGACAATTATTATTGTTAATATGAACATAATACATATTGATATTATGACTTTCTAGTATTTCCAATGAAATATTTCCTAAACAGATATGCTAGGTCCACAAATTAAACATAGACATGTTAAGTAATGAAATGCAATTAATTAAATGAAAAGAAAACAAATAGATTTGCTTTCTTGTGCATAATTTACGATCATTTAATTTTTGCCAAATTGAAATGTATAATTCAGTGATGTTGGAAAAAGATATAAGTGAATAAATTCACTAATTTTGTTAGTGTTAATTGAAACAAAAACTCACTGCCGAAAGAGTGAAAAGAGAAATTTATTTTCCTGAGTTTAAAGTTTACGGTGTCATAAGCTTTAGTGAGTTCCTAATACCTCAATTTAATTTAAAGATTTTTATCATGAATGGGTGTTGGATCTTGTTAAATTCTTTTTCTGCTTTTATGGGTACGATATTTTTATTTTTTGTATTGATAGAGGTTTTTACATTAATTGACTTTTGTGTATTTAACCAGCCTTGAATCCCCAGGTTAAATTCTTCTTGGTTTATGTTTGTTTTCACGTGCCAGTTCAGTGGTGTTTCATCCTTAAAGATGCTTTTAACTTGAATGTCATGGAGGGTTCTGTCTAAAATTTCCTCTATGTACATTATGGATTCATGTCTGATAATGAGGTCTTTATTCCACTTTGATCTGACTTTTGTGCCTGGCATTATACAGAGGTCAGAGTTCATTTTTTTGCAGGTAGCTATCCAATTTTCCCCTTTAACCACTTGTTAAAGAGGAGTTTGATCATTGTGTGATTGTTGCTCAAACATGAAAGCTTGTGACCATATCTCACGGTGAATCAGTAAAATGAAATTGAAAAAAATGAATTCTTGGTTATAATATATGGTCTATTTGATGTATTTTGGATTTAGTTTGCTAATATTCTGCTGAGGATCTTTTCATCTTTGTTAATCAAGGATATGTCTATAGCTTTATGTTTTATGATATGTTTACTTTTGGTATCAGAGTAATGTTTGCCTCATAAAGGATCTTTGGAAGGATTCCTGAGACTAAAATTTTCTGAAAGAACCTGGAAAGGATTAGAAGCGAATCTTTAAAGATTAGAAAGAACTCACCGGTAAACCCGTCTCAACCCGGGTTTTTGTGTTTGGAGGGAATTTTGATTGCCATTTTGATTTCCTTGATAATACTTGTCGTGTTTTAGTGTTCTGTTTCCTCTTGATTCAACCTTGGGAGGTTATAGGATTCCAAAATTATCAGTTTCTTCAAGGTTTGCCAGTTTTGTAACACAAAGATGTTCAAAGTAATCCCTGATGATTCTTTGACTTCCTTTGGCATCTCTTGTGAAATCTTCCCATTATTTCTGATACAGTTTATCAGAATGTTCTTCCTTCCTTCCTTCCTTCCTTCCTTCCTTCCTTCCTTCCTTCCTTCCTTCCTTCCTTCTTTCCTTCCTTCCTTCCTTCCTTCCTTATGGTATATCAATCTTGTTTATTCCTTCAGAGAAACAGCTTTTAGTTTCATTGGTGTCTTGTGTTTCTTTCTTTAGTTTCAATTTCAAATATTTCTTTTCTCAGTTTCATTTTTTTATTTCCTTCTGCTTGCTTTTGGGTTCTTTTCTATGATATTAATATGGCTGTTTAAGTCGTGTCATAATTTATGTGGGCCTATTCTTGCTTCCTAATGAAATCTTGTATTATTATGAAGTGTTCTCAACATTGATTTTGATGTGTCACATATGTTATGATATCTCATAACACATGTCATGGTAGTTTGTTTCCATAACTCTTCTGATTCCCTCCCTGATTTCTGTTCACTCCCATTTTTTCAGTAGTGAGTTGTTAATTTCCAAGTGTTTGAGATTTGGCTCCCATTTCTGTTTATTGTTAATTTCCATTTTTAGAGTCATTTTTTTTTGCTTTTTGGGTCACACCCGGCGATGCATTGGGGTTACTCCTAGATTTTCACTCAGGAATCACTCCTGGTGGTGCTGAGGGGAACATATGGGATGCTGGGAATCAAAACTGGGTCAGCCATGTGCAAGGCAAATGCCTTACCCACTGTGCTATCACTTTTCAAAGTGGTTTTACCTCTCTTTGTTGATTTGTTAATGTTCAACCCACTTTGGTATCCCCACCCTACATGATTTCTATATAAACTAGGCTATGAGGTTGGGTGGGGGAAATCCAGAGGGAAAGAGATGGAAGGTGCTCGAGAGAGAGAGAGAAGCAGAAGGGGAATCAGAGGACAATGGAGAGGAGATTAGAATAAACTGCAATTGGTATCAAGCAGCCTGGCTCTCTTTCCTTCCTTCGCCTACCCATCACCATTAGCCTCCCCGGGGTGGGGGAAGCAGAGACCACCGAACACAGGCATTGAGAGAGATAGAGCATCGCAGCCCTTTAGTAAATATACAAGCATACACTCATTCTGTTGAGCAATCTCTGGAGACATTCAATAAGGAGAAACTGGATTAATGCTAGAGCCCCTGATTTAAATGGTGAGGCCCCAGGTTGGCTCCCCGAGGCTTCCCAAAAATAATAGGGGACAGGGAAGGTTTTGTGGTGCTCAGGGCATATTCCTTGCTCTGTGCTCAGGTATCACTCCAAGTAGGCTCTGGGAACTGTGTTCTATGCCAGGGATAGAACTAAGGTACAATAGTACAATTATGTATTTGCCTTGATAAAAGTTGTTTGAAAACGAAGAGGAAACTGGGTGCCAGAAAGGGAAACTGAATTGCCCGAGGTAGTCCAGCAAGCCAGTGCTGGGCAGGTCAAAGTTTTTTAGCGCTAATTATAGTTCTCACTGCCTTGGTTCCTGCAGATCAGATTGGGAATGAAGCAATTTACATTATCAAATTAAATTATGTTACCAAATCCTCAAGTTTGAGAATATTCAAAAATTATTCTGACAAGTAATGAACACTCCATGAATAGGCATCAGAGTATTAGAAGAGCAGTTATGTCCATAGATTTCATGACTAAAAATGTAATTTGAAGCCAATAAAAATCAGATAAAAGAGCATCTGTGTTTGCTTATGTTTGTGTATGTATAAAAGAGCATCTGTGTTTGCTTATGTTTGTGTATGTATCAATTATTACCAACCCTTCAACAGAAGCACGCAACATTCTGGTTCCATTCCAGATATAAAAATCACCTTGACACTTCCTGTTAATGGAATGGTTTAAGCAGTTTTTATAGTGAAATGTTTTGATTTCAATGGGAAATCTCAGTTTTGCAATCCAAGATCGAGAGATTTTCACTGTTCGGGGCAGTTTATTGCCTTTTTTAGTTATATTATTACTACACTTTATTTATTATTATTTTTAATTTTTATTAGTAAAACACCATGAGGTACAGTTGTAGACTTACAAATTTTTGTGCTTGGGTTTCAGTTATACAGTGATTGAGTACCCATCCCTCCACCAGTGCCCATTTTCCACCACCACTGATCCCAGTATCCCTCCCACCCAACCCCCATCCCTCCCTTCCCACACTGCCTCTGTGCCAGGATATTCCCTTTTGTTCTCTCTCTCCTTTTGGGTGCTGTGGTTTGCGAACAAGGCATTGAGTGGCAATCATGTTTGGTCTATACTTTGAGAAGTACTAACCTGAGTCTGGGGAGATGGAGGTAGCTGTGGGAAGAAGAGGTGGACAAGAAGTAACAAGGAAATTGGAGAATAATCTTGGGCACTTTGGTGGTGTTGAAATATGTATACTGTGTACATCAATACCATAACCATTAACACAATATATGCATGTTACCTAAAATATAGTTGTTAAAAATAAATTAAGACTTAAAATATAAAAAGAAATTTTCATTTTAATTTATTCAATGCATTTCTTCTAGAAGTAGTGTGCCTAATTATCTGCTGTATATTTGAACTCTCACTAGAAAAAATAGACTATTTACACACTCTTACCTTGCTTTCAGATTAGCTACACAATATTCTGAAGAAATGAATATCAACAGAACTGAGGAGAAGTTCCATTCTATAAACCATGCAGAACAAACTCTACATAAAATGGAGACCTACTTGAAAGAAAAACAACTGTGTGATGTTCTACTTATTGCTGGTAACCTTCGAATCCCTGCACATCGGTAAGTATCTTTATGCAAATAGAATATTGGCTAAGTAGACGAAGTTTGAATGACAAAGAATCAACTCTTGATTAAAACCTTCACTATTTAAAATTTTTGTTTTTATATTTCAAAGTCATCATCAGCAGGAGTTGTTTCTCTCTGTGATATCTGTATAAGCAAAACTTTAGAGAAATTTATGAAAAATACCAATACATCTCTCCTTAATATAAAATCAACCCTTTTCACCTTTCCAATTTCACTATTACTTACTGAACATTGAGAGATTTATGTAGAGGGGTGTGACACACCTGACTGTATTTCATGATTTTCAATTAGATTATGGACTTATTTAAACTCTTATTAAACATGCTTATTTTCAGCGTGGTACTCAGTGCAGTTTCTGATTATTTTGCTGCAATGTTCACTAATGATGTGCTTGAAGCTAAGCAAGAAGAGGTCAGGATGGAAGGAGTTGATCCTAATGCCCTAAATTCCTTAGTGCAATATGCTTACACAGGTAAGTGATTGACTTCTGTTACTGTACACAATTCACATTACAGAATCATTATGTTGCTGGTATTCATTATCATTATTATTTATTATTATTAATACCTACTCTACAAATGAGTAGACTAAAAGTCAATTCAGCAATCTTCAAAAGACAAGGGGAAATGAAAGACTTAAATATAAAAGTACTGAAAGTCAAGAGGTAAATAAGTTTCTTTAAAAATACAGGTCATGGGGCTGGAGCAATAGCACAGCGGGTAGGGCGTTTGCCTTGCACGCAGCCGACCTAGGTTCAATTCCCAGCATCCCATATGGTCCCCCGAGCACCACCAGGAGTAATTCCTGAGTACATGAACAGAAGTAACTCCTGTGCACCGCTGGGTGTGATCTAAAAAGCAAAAAAAAAAAAATACAGGTCAGAGAAGTAGAACAGAGGATCGAATGCAAATGTAGCTTAGCTGTGAAATAATAAAGCCATTTTAATATGAATATCCAGGAATATGATTCCTTCAAATAATATTGATACATTATCATTAATAAAAGCCAATTAAGTGGTATATTAAAATTATACATTAGATATTTAGTCATTTACTTTTGCTTTTTGAGTCTCACCTGGCGATGCTCAGAGGTTACTCCTGGCTTTTGCACTCAGGAATCTCTCCTGGCGGTGCTCAGGGGGCCATATAGGATGCTGGGAATCGAACCAGGGTCAGTCACATGCAAGGCAAATGGCCTACCCTCTGTGCTATAGCTCCATCCCCTATTTAGTCAATTTTTAATTTTACATACTAAATCTTATTTCTAAACTATAAAACCAAAAATAATATGATGGTTGAATATGCATGCAAGCTCAATGTTGTTTTTGTTGACCAAAATTTTTGTACACAAAAGTAGCATTTACTTATATGAACACTTCTTGAACTTTTGTTTCTTTAATAAAAATGGAGACTTTCAAATATGATTTAGATGTTAGTATATTAATTAAAAAGGATAGCTCTATTATTAAGGAAAATTGAAAACTTACACTAGCCATCTGTATTTATAATACATATAATTATGCTTTTCTATTTTGAACTACTTAGGTGTTTTGCAACTGAAAGAAGATACCATTGAAAATTTGCTGGCTGCAGCGTGTCTCCTTCAGCTAACTCAGGTCATTGAAGTCTGTTCCAATTTTCTCATAAAACAGCTCCATCCATCAAACTGCTTAGGGATTCGATCTTTTGGAGATGCTCAAGGCTGTAAAGACCTTCTAAGTGTGGCTCACAAATACACAATGGTAATTTAATAAATTAAATATGTATGTACATGTGTTAGTTCTTTAAAAGTTTCACAGAATAAAACTATCTTTATTCAATCAATGGATGCTCATTTTATAAACTGTAGGGAGACAAGATAGATTTGACAAATCATAACAAATAAAACGTTATGGATAGATGCTGATAATTGCCTGATGCAAAAAAGAAAATAAGTTTTTCAACCTCTGAGTCAGGTAACACCACAATGTTTCTTTCTGTGAAATCCAAATGAAAGGTAAATATTTGAAATTCAAAAAATTGTTGTTTAATGTTCAAAAATATAAGTCAAATAAACAAAATTGAATGAGAACCAAACTTACAAAGAAAGCAAACAACAATTTTAAGAGAGATATACATTAAAGAACAAATTATTAGAGTTTTTGCAGGTCATGCATTGTCAAATTTCTAGCTTTTGAATTCTCTAAACAGTTTTTATATTAGAAACTCGTTATTTTATCCCCTCCACTGAATTGTTCAAAATTTGAAATTTCAAAAATATTCCTGAGAAAAATCAGTTGCATTACATATTATGTTGTAATAGTGAAAATTTTAACATATACAACTGAATTATGCTATTTATATTGTTGTGCCCTATGGACAGATTCCATATAATTTACAGGAACAGCAGTAGTGTAGTTCAAAGGTTAATTCTATCACAAAAGCCAACCACAGAAACTTCCTCTTAAACTTCCTAAATTCTTGAGCTAGGTATTAACAGTTTCCTGTCTGGTAGCCTACTGTTATCTAACTCCTAGAGATAAAACATATCCTGATAAACAGCCTAAATTATTTTTATTGATCAGAAAGAACCTGTCTTCCTTTACCTATTATGTCACTGAAGCAATGTTAAAGCAGGATGAGCCTAAAACACAATGCTTCTGAATCCACTGACACTCACATATTTTATCTGCACTGTAGTACTGTCCTCCCATTGTTCATCGATTTGCTGGAGCGGGCCGAGTAACATCTCTATTGCGAGACTTGTTACTGTGTTTGGCATATCGAATATGTCACAGGTAGCTTGTCAGGCTTGGCCATGTGTGCAAGATACTCTTGGAAGCTTGCTGAGCTCTCCAAGAGGGGTGGAGGAATCGAATCTGGGTCAGCCGGGCCGGAAGAATCCACTCTTGGTAGCTTGCTGGGCTCTCCAAGAGAGTGGAGGAATCGAATTCGGGTCAACCGGGCTGGCCGTGTGCAAGGAAAACGCCCTTGTTAAGTACCTAGTATATCATGATAAAAAATTCAGTTTTACTTTCTGAATTCATTCCTTTCATTTAGAATATGCATTCAGAATGGTAGTGATATTTCCAGATGACAATTGGTTCTTCAGTAGGTATCCCAGTGGTTTGCAGCCCTCTCTTAATTATATAAATAGATAAAGAACAAATCTCTGGTATTAAAATGGTAAGAGGAAGCAATTTTTTTAAGTTTTAAGACTCTCGGTGAGCAAATAATGGGAAATTATTTGAGCTTAGAAAACTATTTAAAGATAATCTATACTTGCAAAGTACATTAATTTACAAAAGAATTAAATATAGTCTTTTACTTTACCTCCACAGGAAGGAGGTTAAATGGGTATTGTTTACCTTTTTCAAAAATGAATTTTAAATTGATGATAAGAGGTTTCTAATATGTGCCTTTGATGGAAAAGTCCAACACATCTGTTCCAGACACTACATTATATAAAACCCTTTAAAGAAAAACTTCTCAACCAAAAATTGCAATTACTTGGGGCAAGGCAATTATTTACTGTGGAAGGCTGTCCTGTGCATTATGAACATTGATAACATTGATCAGCATCCCTGATCTTACCAAGAGATATCCATATGACCCCTACTATCCCTACCCCCATCCATTGAGCCTGCCTAAGATGTTTCCAATCGTTGCCAAATATTTCCTGGAAAATGAGGTAAGGGAAAACAGCTTCCAACCGAGATTCACTGATTTAAAAGTTCACTTAACAAGACAGATTTAAAATTCATATGTAGGGGGCCAGAGTGATAGGACAGTGGCTAAGATATTTGCCTTGAATGCTGCTGACATTCAAGGCATGTTTTATCAATTATTATAAATTCAAAAATTATTCTATAATAATACAAATAATTTAATATATAGAATATTTTGAAGGTTTAAGTATTTAATCATAGTGATTAGAGTCATACCTTAAATGAAATAAATATATTGCTCTCTTAAATGTGAGTGGGAAATGCCATCACATACAGACTGGTGTACTTGACCGAAGGTCTGGAACTTCCATAATTCAAACAAGCTAGCACATAAAGTTATCTATCACTATCACAGAAATAATAGTTCTGATTTAGTGAAACAATTCACAAATGTGCTAGATTCCTTTAATAAGTTTTGCAACGCAGTAAGGGTGGAGTTTGAAAAATTGAATACCAAATCAAATGCAAATAACAGGACTCTTGGTGAGTTGCAGGTAAGAAATTATTTATATTAGCTTAGAAGATAACTTGATCTCCCATTTGATCCAGCAATACCACTCCTGGGAATATATCCCAGAGAGGCAAAAAGTATAGTCGAAGTGACATCTGCACTTGTTTGTTCATTGCAGCACTCTTTACAATAGCCAGAATCTGGAAAAACCTGAGTTCCCGAGAACAGATGACTGGTTAAAGAAACGCTGGTACATTTACACAATGGAGTACTATGTAGCTGTTAGAAAAGATGAAGTCATGAAATTCACATACAAGCGGTACTACATAGAAAGTATCATGTTAAGCAAAATGAGTCAGAAAGAACAGGATAGACACGGACAGATTGCATTCATCTGGGGAACATAAAGTAACAAAATGGGAGACTAACACCCAGGAGTGGCCGAGATTAGTACCAGGAATTTTGCTCCATGACTTGGAGGCCAGCCCCACATGCTAGGGGGAAAGGAATCTCAGATAGATAAGGGTGCACCAAATAAAGGGTGTTGGAAGGATCCTCCCAGGATGGGAGAAGCATGCTGAAAGTAGACTATAGACCAAACATGATTGCTACTGAATGCCTTTCTTGCAAACCACAGGATCTAAACGGAGAGAGAGAGAGAGAACAAAAGGGAATGTCCTGCCACAGAGGCAGGGTGGGATGGGGGGACGGGAGGTGGCAGGGATGCTGGGACCGGTGGTGGTGGAGGATGGGCGCTGGTGGAGGGATGGGTACTTGGTCATTGTATAACTGAAACCCAAGCACAAATTTTGTAAGTCTGTAACTGTACTTCATGGTGTTTCACTAATAAATAAATAAATAAATAAATGAAAATAATTTCAAAATAAAGTAATTTGAATCTTTAAGTTTGATTATACAATTACAGCACCAGGTAATTCAGTGCAATATATAAGTGCTTTAACCAATAGATTTATGTCTCATTTACTATATTTCCAAGCAATTTTAGTAGTCTCTTAAGGCTGCCATCCTAAAGACACAACAAACTGGCCGCAACAAACTATCAAAAGAGGAATTCCTGGTTATATCCAAATATGACCATCATATAAACCATAAACAACTTTAATATTATTGAATGCATAACCAAATTTGACAGACTAATTGATCTATGTTAACCTCTTAGAAGTTTTTACACACTCATCCAGTTTCTTTTCACTCTTATTTTCTTTCGTTCATAATTTATATATATATATATTCCCTCTAATAGGAAGTCAGAAGGTTTAGAGGAGTTTATCTTTTTTCTTTAATTTTTAGTAAAACGTACATCAGTTAAGTAATGTACTAATTATATTGAAAATAAAACTATAACTTAAGGCTTATGTTTGAGTTTATACTATGCTAATAATTATGTAGTAAAACAATTCACAAAGCCCATTTTCTTAGAATAACTTTATTTTTCAAAAAACTGCCCTGGTTATGACTTAATGTTTGTTAAATCTGGATCACTTAATATTTATGAAATTTTCACAAGATATTTGCAGTGATCTATAAATGTAAAATATTATTTTTACTACATCTAATTGCTTCATTATTTTTCTACAGATGAGAGGATTTCCAATGACGCATGCTGTAGTAAAAATAATCAGTTTTCTTATTCAAAAGAGGATTTTGTTTAAACAGACAAAATAATTTGAAATTAATAGAACAAAAATGTCCTAGTGTATATACTAAACTTAATGATCAATGCATGTTTGATTTTGCAATTAGATTAAACTTGATAAATGATAATTAAACTCATAGTAAAACTGAGACAATGATTTGATTTATTCAGATTCCCTAGTTATTTGAAGGCTGTCTTAATTAGTTCCAGATGACTTATTCACCATGTAATATAAATTAGCAACAGTGTGTTGGTATGTCAGAATGGCTATTATTGCACTCAATGTGTGAGATTTCATACTAAATAACATTGGAAAATATAATTGTCAAAGAACAACATACAGCAACAACATTAAAACAGTGTATGATGAAAACTGAAAACAAAATTTGTGAAATTTGATACTTGAAAAATTACGTCACACAGGAAAAATGGATAACTGGACCATTTATAACATGGAAAGATAAGGGCTGGAGAGATAGCACAGCGGGTAGGGCATTTGCTTTGCATGCGGCCTACCCAGGTTCTATTCCCAGCATCCCATATGGTCCCCTGAGCACTGCCAGGAGTAACTCCTGAGTGCAGAGCCAGGAGTAACTCCTGTGCATCGCCAGATGTGACCCAAAACGCAAAAAAAAAAAAACATGGAAAGACAGCCTGACCCCAAACAACTTCATAGAAATTCTTTTTAGGTTGACTTTAATTTGTTAATCATTATGAAATATATTTTTGTCTTTGTTAATACTTATCATATTTTCCCCAAAAGAGAAATGTTTTAATATATTTTATATCAAAAGAATTAAATATGTTTTCTAATGTACAGCAAAATTGCCTCTCATGAGTCTTCCAGAAAGTCTTCACCTTGAAAAGTGTCAGCAGTTTCACTATGATAAGCTAATTCAGCATTTTGGGTAAAAATCCATTAGACATCAATCATCAATCTAAATGCATCAACTGATGAATTATCTCCTACAATTGTTCATAAACTAAAGACTCTGGAATCAATTAGTACACTGTCCATGTGGTCTTTGGGGGAAGTTATAAACTTCCTTTTCCTTTTTTTCACTAAGATTTTATTTTCAGCAGTAGTAAACAAGTATTTAATTTTCCAAAAGACAGAATATAACATCTATATTTTCTTTCTTATTTATGAGTTGGTATAATTTTTTTAATGAATTGTTGTGATGTAGTTACAGACATACAAACTTTCGTGCTTACGTTTCAGTTATACAATGTTCGAGTAACCATCATTCCACCAGTGCCCATTCTCCACCACCAATGATCCCTGTATCCCTCCCACCACCCCCACCCCACTCCCCCGCATCTGTGGCAGGCACGTTACCTTTTACTCTCTCTCTCTCCTTTAAGGTCTTGTGGTTTGCAGTGCCAACCACATAAAGTGGCCATCATGTTCGGGCTATAGTCTATTTTCAGCATGCATCTTCCATCCTGAGCAGGTCCTCCAAGCATTTTTTACTTGGTGGCCCCTTCTCTATCTGAGCTTTCCCCAAGCATGTGAGGCCAGCATTCAAGCTGTGGAGCAATCCTCCTGGTCCTTATCTCTACTATCTTTGGGTGTTAGTTTTCCATTCTGTTACTTTATATTGCATAAATGAGTACAGTCCTTCTATGCCTGTCCCTCTCTTTCTGACTCATTTCACGAAGCATGATACTCTCCATGTTGATCCACTTATATACAAATTTTATGACTTGATCTTTTCTAACAGTTGCATAGTATTTCTTTGTGTAGATGTACCAAAGTTTATTTAACCAGTCATCTGTTCTGAGGCACTCGGGTTTTTTCCAGATTCTGGCTATTGTAAATGGTGCTGCAATGAACATACAAGTGCAGATGTCATTTCTACTATAGTTTTTTGCATCTCGGAGATATATTCCCAGAAGTGGTTTTGCTAGGTCAAATGGGAGCTCAATTTCTAATTTTTTGAGAAACGTCCATACTGTTTTCCAAAAGGGCTGAACCAATTGGTATTCCCACCAGCAGTGAAGGAGAGTCCCTTTCTCCCCACATCCACACCAACACTGGTTGCTTCTTTCTTTTATGTGACTTTCCTTTTAGTTTAACAAATAGCTCTCAGTTTTTGAAGCTTCCCCTCATTGTCCCTCTTAGACAGATCAACAATAGCACATACTTGTGCTATTGTTAATTGCACAAATTGTTAATATTTAAATTGTTAATATATAAATATTAAATACATATATAAATATTTATCACTGTCTCTGAAATTTTCTAAACAAAAAATAGAAAAATCATTTGATATTTTGTTATTTCAAAAAATGAAGTTACAGTATAAGATCTTTCTTTTCTAGGAACACTTCATTGAGGTAATAAAGAACCAGGAATTCCTTATGCTTCCAGCTGATGAAATTTCAAAACTTTTATGCAGTGATGACATTAATGTACCAGACGAAGAAACCATTTTCCATGCTCTAATGCAGTGGGTGGGGCATGATGTGCAGGCTAGGCAACAAGACCTAGCAATGCTGCTTTCTTATATCAGACTGCCATTACTTCCACCACAGGTATGTAAAATTTTTAGCCAATGCAAACTATAGTATAGTAACTATACTAATGTGTACTAAAACAGAACTTATTTTTTTCCTAATTTTATTGTTCTCAAAGGACTTCTGTTAAATTTTAATGCATGCATTTATCTTACCTGAAGATATTCCCAACCTTCAATTTGCAATATTAATATAAAGCAGGGAAAGACTTTAATAAAACCATTGAGAGAGTATTTAAACATAGAATATTGGTATTTTGCTTTCTCTCTTTCCAAACGTCATTTGAAATGTGCTTAAAAATAATGAGGCAATCCCTTTTGATCATGTTCTAGGAAAAGTGATAACGATTATTACAGTAACATAACAAAAGGAGTCTCTAGGAAAGAGATTGTGGATAATAACAACTAAAAATGTATATTCAAATTTGAAGTATACTATACTGGTTTCAGATTCACTAAAATATTATAAAGGCATACTCATTATACACACAAAATGAATATAACATTCAGGTTTGATCCACTTCATGTTGACTCAGAATATATAATTTAGTGAGGTTTGAGTGTAGTCCCAGTAGTGGTAGAAGTCACAATTCTTCTGCATTGGGAAAATGTATGTATTATTATATGTATACAATATGCGTGCATAATATGTATTATATATAAATATTTTAGCATATTATATATTATGTAACCACATAATTTATAGCATATCATATATTATGTAATCACATCATATATTATTTATTTTATCCACAAAAAATCATATATTTATTTGTATAAAATCTTAAATATCTGCTTTGGAAGGAAGAAGGGGTGTTTTAGACTGATTTTCATACAGTGTATCATTAATTTTATAAGGTAAAGGTAAAGGCCCTCCCGTTGATCATCGATTTGCTCGAGCGTGCCCAGTAACATCTCCATTGGAGACTTTGTTGTTACTGTGTCTGGCATATCGAATATGTAACGGGGAGCTTGCCGGGCTCTCCGAGAGGGACGGAGGAATCGAACTCGGGTCGGCCATGTTGGCTGCGTGCAAGGCAAACGCCCTACCGCTGTGCTATCGCTCCAGAAATTAAAATTAATTCCTAAAAAGTGGATAATAAAATACTAATATTAAAATAAATGCTGGAGTCAAAGTGATAGTAAAGAAGGTAGTGCATTTACTTTGTATGTGAGAAATCTAGATTCCATCCTCAGCATCTTATAGTCCTGGGCTCTGTCAGATGTGATCCCTGAGCACAGAGCCATCATTAACCTCTCAACACTGCTGATTGTGGTTCCCCAAAAAACAAAAATAAAATGTTAATATGCTGATGATTTATCTGTATTATTTAGATTTTAAATTTAATCTCTTGTAACTACATACTTACTTATAAGAATGTATACAATAAAATTACATTTACTGTCTTTCTCAAAATAACAAAATTGTCCAAGGGCAAGGCAACAGTAAAACCTAAAAAAGAAGCATATATATATATATATTTAGACCATAAGTTTTAACAGAAATTGCATGTTTATGCAACTATACTTACATTAATGTTCATTACTCTCATGAGATCTATAAAATTTATTAGTTCCTCAAAGGTGTTACTCAAAAAGTCCCTAGCCCAGAAGTATATCCATGTCTACAAGTTTGTTAAAAAACTCCTCAAAGATCCACTACTGAGAGAGAGAACAGAGGGGAATGCCCTGCCACAGAGACAGGATGGTATGGGGGGATGGGGGGTGGGAGGGATACTGGGATCCGTGGTGGTGGGAAATGGGCACTGGTGGAGGGGGATGGGTGTTTGATCATTATGTAATTGAAACCCAAGCACTAAAATATGTAAGTCTGCAACTGTACCTCATGATGTCACTCTATTAAAAAAATTTTAATAAAAAAAATAAATAAAAGATCCACTACAGACCTACTAAAACAATTTTTGTGGTAAAGTGAAATGAATATGCATTTTAACCTTCTCTCCTGATTATTTTCAGATATGCAAATATCGTTTCATGGTTGATATATGTTATATCGTATAGAATATAGAATTTCCAAATCATTTTAAATGGCCTTAACCTTCCTACAAATAAATATATGAAAATTATAGCAAACAGCAGAAATCAATTTGAAAGAAAATGTTACATAGTGTGTTTTCAATCCTATTTTAACAGCATATGCATTAAGGAAATGGGGCTCGCTAGGCAAGTCAAAAGAGTCATTATTGGCAGGATGGGAACAGGAATATTCAAACAAGCTTTATGGGGTGATATTATTTTCTCTGATCCAGAAACCTGCTTACTATTCATTTTATATCTTTTGATGCTGTGTGGATAAAACTCTATGGAATTAATCTAAATAACCCTTGATAAAATTCTAAAACAAAATTTTGACATGTTTTCAGCTAATTTCAGAAATTATGTTTACCTAGTTTTTTCTTCTGAATCAGGTAGGATCTTATTGTCTTCAGACATTGGCTGGGAGTGATTAATAACCTACTATTGCTAATATATTAATAAAACTGGTACTTTTCAAATTTTAATTATTTCTAATTGAATCACAGTGAGATACGCAGTTACAAAGTTGTTCATAACTGGTACTTTTTAAACTAAATCTTTGACCTGGATAAAGACAATCTGATTTCTGAATATTCTGTGGAAGTGATTTGATGAAAAAGATGCAGTACTTTATTGTTGATATTTTATTTTAACAGGGATAAGCACAGTACATTGTCATATGATTGCTTGTATGCAAATATTTTGTTTATTTACATATTGACAGTTTAAAAATTTTAAAGCCCATATTATTTTTCAGTAACCAATTTATGAGTATTTTCTCTTTATTTTGAAAACATTTATGTGCATCTTCAAAAGTTGAGTTGACAAAATATTTACTAGATATATATTAGTATTGCTAGATGAAATATTCATTAGATACAGTAACAACAAAGTCTCCAATGGAGACGTTACTGGGCCCGCTCGAGCAAATTCATTAGATATACTAGCAAAAATTGTAGTCATTTCAAATGACTGAAAATAAAACTTGGCTAATATATCATAATAAAATTATTTTATTATTATCTACATTTTATTATTATTATCTATATTATCTACATTTATTATTATCTACATTTTATTTATCTTGAATATTTTTACTAAAGTTACATAAAAAATCTTTCTTAGTGATGATAGACTCTTACATTCATATACCATGCACAATTTGTTTTCAGTTACTGGCAGATCTTGAGAACAGCTCCATGTTTGCTCATGATCTTGATTGTCAGAAGCTCTTAATGGAAGCAATGAAGTATCATCTCTTGCCTGAGAGAAGACTCATGATGCAGAGTCCTCGTACAAAACCTAGAAAATCAACTGTGGGGGCACTTTATGCTGTTGGAGGCATGGATGCTATGAAAGGTACAAAGAACACAATAATTTAGAAACTATCATGTTATATCATAATTCTTAATACCCTCCAAATTAGGAGGATGTTATTAAAGTTATTTTATATTTCAATTTGTGCTTTTTTGAGATAATATTCAGTTTACAAGTGTGAAAATATTTATCTGTGTTAATATTACAATGTTGTCATAAGATGTCTACCACCAATGGCCTCAATATCTTCCCACAAAAGTTCTGTTGTACTGTTTCTACACAACTCCCATAGTCATAGCTTATGATAGTGTCTTCATTCAAGACACTTCAAGACACTTCAAAACACTTCAAAACACTTCAAAATTAGTGTCTTCATTGGATATTTGATATATGCCACATTTAACTAACTTATTTACTAGACATAAACTCCCTCATTACTTCTGTGTTGTAGCATTTCATCTCTTCATTTGTTGAACTGTACTCTGTGCTTGGTGTGTGTGTGTGTGTGTGCGTATGTGTGTGTGAACACAGCATAAGTTCTGTGTTCACACATATTGGGACTTACTTTCACTATTTCCATGAATTGACCATTTGTAAATAGCACTGCAAAGAGTATAAATATATATTTATGTTTTGGATTAATATTTTTGTGTTCTTTATATAGATATCAATAAATAGAAATGTGGGATCTTATCTTTTCTTTAAAATCTTTAAAATATTTTCTTTAAAAATTAGCAATATCATTCTCATCTGTGGAATATAATGTAACAGAATGGGAGACGAACACCCAAGATTAGTTGAGATAAGTACCAGGAGGTTTGCTCCACAGCATGAAAGCTGGCAGCACATGCTGGGGGCGGGGGGGGGGGGGGAAGCAGCTCAGATACAGAAGGGAACACCAAGTAAAGGATGTTTGGAGGATCCGTTAGGGATAGGAGACACGTGATTAAAGTAGACTATAGACCGAACACGATGAACACTCAATACCTCTGTTGCAAACCACAACTACCTAATGGAATGAGAAAGAAAAAGGGAATGTCCTGCCATAGAATCAGGTGGGGGTGGGGTGGGGGAATGGGGTGGAGGGTGTGAGACTTACTGGGATCATTGGTGGTGGAGAATGGGCACTGGTGGAGAGATGGGTGCTCGATCATTGTATAACTGAAAACCTAGCATAAAAATTTGTAAGTCTACAACTGTATCTCATGGTGTTTCACTAATAAATGATTTTAAAAATTAGCAGTATCAGAGGTACAGTGATAGTGAAGAGGTTAGGACACTTTCCTTGCTTGTAGCTAGCCTGGATTCAATCCCCAGCACCCTGTAAGTCCCATAAACATTTTGAGGAGTGCTCCCTGACCTCAGAACCAGGAGTAAGCTTTGAGCACTACCAGGTATGACCCCACCCAATACCAAATAACAATAGTAATTTCTCCTGGAATCTTAAGAGTTAATTTAAATGAAAGAGATAAGGTCATTCAAATGAATACTTTTGAGAGATTTGCTGTGTAGGCCTGTGGCCATTAGTGGCACTGCATGGTCTGGGGTTCAGTTCTAGGGCTTGAAGAGGAAGCAGGGAACACTAGGGCCACTTCAATTGTGCTCAGGGTTTCTGATGTGTGTTGTCACGGTCACTGTCACTGTTCTCCCGTTGTTCATCGATTTCCTCGAGCGAGCCCAGTAACGTCTCCATTGTGACAATTGTTACTGTGTTTGTCGTATCGAATACGTCACGGAGTAACTTGCCAAGCTTTGCCGTGTGGGCGAGATACTCTCGGTAGCTTGCCGGGCTCTCCGAGAGTGGCGGAGGAATCGAACTGGATTGCAAGGCAAACGCCCTACGCTCTGTGCTATCTGATGTGTGTAGAATAAATATTTACTCCCATTAAGTTCGGTGTTCTTTAGTTTCAGTCTGTGTTTATTTTGCCACGAAGAAACTCTCTAATTTGATGCAGTTTAATTTGATTTTTTTTAATTTGGCTGACATTTCCAACAGCATCATAACACTGAAGAAATCGCAGAGATTCCTGCACATATTTTCCTCAATACGGTTTATAGATTCAGTCTGTTCTCAACTCTTTGATATAGTTTTAACTATATTTTATGTCAGGGCTTTTATGTAATTATCTTTTATATAAGGTATCTTTTATGATATAGATATGTTATGGCATAACTTTAAGTTTTTATACATGATTATCCAGTTTTCCAAACACTGATTTTGAAAATACTAACTTTACTCTATTTAATGTTATCAGAACTTTTGACAAAAACTGGTTGACAATAAATCTGAGAATTTATCCTTGGGGTTCTTTTCTTACTGAACCACTGTGGATTACAGAGTTACAGTGTTGTATTCACTAATTTTGTTGAGGGGTTATGCATCTATGTTCACCAGGAAAATTGTTCTGAAAAGTTCTTTCTAAAAGTGCCTCTATCTGCTTTGAGTATTATTATAATATTGTCATCTTAGTCATTGTTAAAGTGGATTTTTTTCTCTTATAGTTTGTAAGTACTCAAGTGGTAAAGGTGGTAATTCTTCTCTGAAGTTTTGATAAAACTCAACAGTGAACCCATGTGGAAAAGGACTTTCAGTCTTGTGCAAGATTCTTTATTAAGGTTTCAGTTTCCTTCCAGATGATTCTCTGTATGATTTCCACTTCCTTCAGGTTCAGTTTTGGGAGATTACATGATTATAAGAATCTGTCCATTTCTTTCTGTTCTCCAGCTTAACAGAAAAAAATTTATAGTAATCTCTGATATTATCATGATTATATCAGGGGTCTATTATAATTTCCTCCCTCCATCTTCAGTTTAATTTATTTTATCATTTTATCATTTAATCCTTCATAGTAAAGCTAAAATTTGTCTCTATTGTTTATTCTTTCAAAGAACCAGCTGCTTATTTCACTTATTCTTTAAACAATTTTTTTGATTTTTGTATTATTAATTGCTGTTCTAGTTTTTATTGTGTCCTTTAGTCTACAACTGTTTTTGACTCATGTATTGTTTCTTCTCCAAATTTTTAAGATGTTTGTTTTGGTTGTTTATTTGGTCTTTTTCCTTCTTTCCTAATCTAGACTTGCATTGCTATGAATTACCACATAATACAATTTTTATATACCCCATAGATTTTTATAGCTTGTTCCTCCAGTCTTATTAAATTTTGATCAATCTTTTAATTTACTACTTTATTTACTTTTTGATTATTTAGCAGTCATTATTTAGCAGTGTTTTATTCAACTTCCAAATGTTAGAGGTTTTCTCCGCCTTCTCTTTGAGGTTTTGTTTTCTGAAAGAATGCTTTGTATGATTTTTATATGTAATTTCTTTGCATGTTTGCATTATGCCATAGTGTGTGATCTTTCCTGGACAAAGTCCCATGTACACTAGAGAAGAATGTCTATTTGTCTTTGGGGGAATGGAGGGCCCTGAGTATATCTGTTTTTTTCAGTTCTTCTATCTCCTTGTATGATTACTATTATTCTTGCTGATCTGTCAACTGGCAAAAGCACAGTACTGAAGTCTCCACAAATATAATGCTCTTGTCACTGTATTTCTTCAGATATGTATAGCTCTCATTTTTTATTCTTTTGAAGAAAGATAATTTTACTAATATTTATTTAAAAGCTGTGAAGTAAAGGAAAACTACTGTGTGTTCAAGAGGGAGCACAGACTTCTCCAGAGTGAAAGAAAACAAAATCAAACAAAGAAACATAGAGACAAGCAAGTGAGACATGCATTAGTTAGAGAATACAGGCTTGTAGAGCAAGCCATCTCTGAGTTTTTAAAATTGGTTTCTTTATGTGCATAATCACATATCAAAATGAAAATGTGCCACTTTCACAATCATTAGGTATCTATGTGGTAAATATACTATTTTTATCATAAATATTTCAGGAATCATGACAAAAGCTTTCTCTAAAGCTATTGACATAATCATATTATTTTTTATCTTTCCGCATGTTGACATGGTGAATAATCTGAATAATCTTAACAAAATTTTTGAAGGACATTCATATTGAAAAATATATGTAACTGTTAAGTGGAAGATATAAGAAGATGGAAAAGTATTCTATCCTCATGTATTAGAACAATCACGAGGTTTAAACTGGTCATTTTACCCAAATTATTATACAGGTTTACTGCAATCCCCATCAATATCCCTATCAAATTTGTGAAGACAAAAATGAAAAATGCACATTTGAAAGGCAGGGAGAAATATCCGTGTTACATTCTTAGCACTGTAGCCCTGTAGCACTATCCTCCAATTGTTCATTGATTTGCTTAAGCGGGCACCAGTAACATCTCCACTGTGAGACTTGTTGTTACTGTTTTTGGCATATCAAATACACCATGGGAACTTGCCAGGTTCTGCTGTGCAGACGAGATACTCTCAGTAGCTTGCCAGGCTCTCTGAGAGGGACGTTAGAATCGAACCATGTCAGCCGTGAGCAAAGCAAACAACCTATCCGCTGTGCTATCGCTCCAGCCCTTGTAATAGCTGCACTGTAGCACTGTCCTCCCGTGGTTCATCGATTTGCTCGAGCGGGCCCAGTAACGTCTCCATTGTGAGACTTTGTTGTTACTGTGTTTGGCATATCAAATACGTCATGGGGAGCTTGCCAGGCTCTGCCGTGCAGGTGAGATACTCTCGGTAGCTTGCCAGGCTCTCCGAGAGGGACTGAGGAATCGAACCCAGGTTGGCTGCATGCAAGGCAAACACCCTATCCACTGTGCTATCACTCCAGTCCCTTCTTATAGTTATAATAAATTAATGTTATATTTTCAATTATAATCTTTTTGGTTGTCATCATGGAACATAATATGGACGAACATAAAAGGTGCATTTTTAATTTATTTTAGTTAGGGGGTCAGACGAGGACATGTTGAGAATGTACTACTGATTCTATGCTCCTGATAGTTCTAAGGGGACCATACATATCACAGTGGTAGTGCATTTGCCTTGGTTGCACAGCCAGCCTGGCTGAGCCAGGTTCAATTTCTCCGCCCCTCCTGGAGAGCCCAGCAAGCTACCGAGAGTATCTCGCCTGCACGGCAAAGCCTGACAAGCTACCCGTGAGGTATTCAACATGCCAAACACAGTAACAACAAGTCTCACGATGGAGACATTACTGGGCCTGCTCCAACAAATCGATGACCAATGGGAGGACCATGCTACTGTGCTAATATATACATACACACATATGTATACACACATATATGTATATATTTGAGATATATGTATATATATGTACACACATATGTGTATATATATGTACACACACAAACCTGGATCTGTTGTGTTTTAGGTAAGTGCTATAAGTCCTATTTTACCTCAGAGACACATTTTTGAATCATTACAAAAAATATATGAAATGCTTGAAGAAATAGGGACAAATGATGCTGCTAAGGAACTAAATATATCTCTAGAAAGCAGTAGAAAGAAATAGAAGTGATGCAACTCATTGGAAAAGCCTATGCCTTGTGACATGAGGTTGCTGGTTAAATTCTGGGTACTAAAGCAAAATAAAGAAAAAATAAAACAGTGGTGTGAAAGGCGGGATAGTACAGTGAGCTAGATGCTTTTCTTGCATCTGGATTTGATTCCTGCATCATATATGGTACCACAGTCTGCAGGATTATCTCTTGATGAAATAAATATATAGCATTTATAGTAATAATTAAAAACTAGTAGAGCATTTGCCTTATATGTATGAGCGCCTTTCCTGGTACAATATGGGGGTTGGTATGGAAATATAAAGCATGTTCTTGTTGATGCATAGCACAAACTAGTTATAAATGAGGGTGAATTGTTCCATTAGCTGAATAACACTTTGGCCATGGTCAGGGCTTACTTCTAGCTTCATATTAATAACCACAGTTCTGTAGGGGCATATGTTGTGCTAAGATTGAACTCAGGTCAGTCAAATATCAAGCAAATGCTGTGCTCTCTCCAGCCCCATTATTGAATCTTTATTGACAGGTCTAGTTTCCCACTGATTGAGCGACAGGATCACCATCTCTGTGAAGATTACATATCAAAAGTATGATTCTTAAGTCCTTGAGCAAGATATTCCTACCAGCACTGCTCTTTAGATTCACGACCTAAAACTCCAAGGAAATGCAAGTCCAAGCTGCTGAAATTCTTGGACACAGCAGTCACCGTCACTGAAAACTCTGGGGTGTTCTGGAGATGGAGGCGGCCATATTCCTAACCTGCCAAAGCCCCGCAGTCGCTACCATGCCCAGAAGAGCATTTATAAGAAATGTTCTTACCTGGGCCGTTGGGAATTTCTGTTTTGTATTTTCCAGTTTTTTTAGGCACAATTATTAAGATTGATAATGATAACGTTAATGATAACATTTCACACATATAAAGTTTGAACACTACAGCAAGCTAGATATTGTCATCCCACCAATGTTCTAAGGACCACTACAATCCACTCATTCACCCTCACCCTTGGAAAACTGAGTTCTATAGGCTAACTTTTGAATTATCTTCCCATTGGTTATGTTATTCACTAACTTTCTTTACGTCCCACATAAGAGATAAATTGTCACTTTTCTTCTGACTGACTTCACAAAGTTCTATCTAGAGAACAAGTCCATCTATAAAAATAATACACACTACTTTCATCCATGTAGCAGAGAATTACATAATTTCATAATTTTTATAGTTGAGTAGCATTTCATTTCATATATATATAAATCAAATTTTGTAGGTCAAATTATTCTTCAAACTAATAAATAAGGTGAGAGTGATATGTTATCACTTCTAGATCCAAGTGAGGTTTATAGATTTTGTAAATTAAATATATTTTATAAATTATATATGTTATATATATAATTTATTTATCTACTTACTATTCTTGGGAACTAGGGTTTGTACCAGATAGTATGCTAGTGTGACTCTAGGGTTATCTTTAGTAACTCAATGAATTTCGCCATGCAAAACAGAAGCAAGAGTAAACAGGAAGATTTATATAAAATTAAGATGCTTCAGGAGTGTGAAACAAATTTTGACTATAACAAAAAGACACCCTTCAATTGAGAGAAAAATCTTTTCTCACAACTCATCTGCCAAAGGTTAATATATGTGCTATTAACATAAATATAAAACTTGAAAACTTAACAGTAAATCTGTTTGCAATTAACAAAATCACAATTACATAATTAGAATGTCCAAAAATTAATATAATGAATTACTATAAAAATACAATGGTTGTGTAAATAGTATTGAATTGCATTTTTCTGATTTAATATATGCTTTTCACATCTCTGTTGTACTGACATAAACATAATATAATCTAAAATTCATAAAGAAGCCATAAATCACATATATCAAACATGTATGCTTTTTTCTAACCTCATTTGAATGCAGAAGTGATAACATATTACTTTCACCTTGTTTCTTAGTTTAAAGAATAATTTGGGCTACTAAATTTGAGATTTAGTACCTAATTATATGTTTCAAATTTTAGGTACATAAATATAATACCTATGATGCTCATTTAACTTTATATACATATGACTCAACTGTTGTTTTATTAACAGGTACCACTACAATAGAAAAATATGACCTCCGTACCAACAACTGGATAGATATTGGTATCATGAGTGGACGCAGGCTTCAGTTTGGAGTTGCAGTTATTGATAATAAACTTTATGTCGTTGGAGGAAGAGATGGCTTAAAAACTTTAAATACTGTGGAATGTTTTAATCCTATTGGCAATATTTGGACTGTTATGCCTCCAATGTCAACACATAGACATGGTTTAGGTAAGAACTTAATTGCATATAGTTTCCAAAACCGCATAGTTAATAGAGCTTTACAAAAATAATAACGATCTAAAGATGTTGGAGCGATAGCACAGTGGTAGGGCGTTCGCCTTACAAGCGGCCAACATGGCCGACCTGAGTTCGATTCCTCCGCCCCTCTCGGAGAGCCCGGCAAGCTACCGAGAGTATTGGATATGCCAGACACAGTAACAACAAAGTCTCCAATGGAGACGTTACTGGGCCCGCTCGAGCAAATCGACGATCAACGGGAAGGCCTTTACCTTTACCTTTACCTTTAAAGATGTTGAGGATTCAGCCAAACACTTGGTGAAAATATTCCCCAAATGCCGAAAAGTTTATTCCAATATCAACATTCTATGAAGATTTTCTTGATGCATTTATTAATTCTGCTTTAAAATTGTTTTATGAGGCCTATTTATCTCCTATCATTATTTTAAAAGGGGTACAATTTTAGAAATTATTAACTTTTGGAAGTAATAAATTATTGGGGCTGGAACGAGAGCACATCAGGTAAGGTGTCTGCCTTGATGAGGCCCACCCAGGTTTGATTCCTCTATCCCTCTCGGAGAGCCCAGCAAGCTAGGAGAGTATCCCGCCCTAACGGCAAAGCCTGGCAAGCAGCCTGCCATGTATTCGATATGCCAAAAACAGTAACATCAAGTCTCACAATGGAGATATTACTGGTGCCCGCTGGAGCAAATCAGTGAACAACGGGAGGACAGTGCTATAGTGCTACAATAAATTATTGAACAAAAAATTGCAATGGAAAAATTCTTCTATCCTTAGGCACTTCATATTAGGGAGATACTATGTTTCTAGTCAGAGAAATTGTGTACCTTCCTGAAAGAGAAAAAGCATGCAGGTCTATGGTAAGGATATTTAATGGTGAAAAATACCATTTTATTTAAGAGGAGCTCTAACATTATCCTTCAGCTAGAGGCTTCCATTTAGTTAAACAGCAAGAAATTGAGTTAAAACATCTGGAACAGTGAAGAATTTTGATTCCCTTGAATATTTTTCTTGGTATATTTTTAATATATACGTTGTATGTTTTGAATGTTTTAAATTACATATGGGGATACATATATATGTATTAAGATCACTATATTTTGAGATAGTGCATAGAGTTATCTATCCACATAGAATAGTACATAGAGATAGGGTTACAGTGTTTGAATGTATCTGGGTGATCCTGGTTTGAAATCATGGCATGGCATACAGTCCTTAGAACACAGCAAGGGGTCAATCCCAAGTACAGAGTCAGGAATAGCCTCTGACTGAGCATCGTGGGTATGACCTAAAACACACCACACACACACACATACACACACACACACATACACATACTCACGCACACACGCAGACATGCATGCACGCACACATAATATTTAATCAAATGTTTTCAAAAACTAACCTTTGCTTAGCTAAAAAAAGTGGCAAAGGCAGAACTAGTATTAATTGCCCAAATCATCTGACAATATGTTAATGTCAAAATATACTTGATATTTCTAAAAGAATTGAAAAGATGATGAGAATATATCACAAATATGCTTATTGAAATAGTGAAGAAGCTGGGGAGGACGGGGGCTGGCAAGGGTGCAGACAATTACATGAATTCCCAGAGTAAAGAAACAGCAGCAAGAAAGGGGATATTCGTGTTATTTCATTATGCTGACCTAACCACAACAAAATTCTGCATAATTTCATAGTTCTCTTTATCTCTAAAATAAAAAAAATAAAAAAGCCTACCACAGTTAGCCTACATTTCTAAAAATTATCTGAGAATCGCTGTTATATGTTATAACATATATATGTTATATAGAGCTTATTTTCAGACAGAGACATTGAAATTATGACAGGAAATATTTGATCCCTTTATCTGTAAAAAGGGTTCCCTAGAGAAAATATATTTTATATTACCTCACTCGAATTCAGCATTTCAATAATAGAACCCTCCTTTGATATCATAACTAGATCTAAAATTTTTCTCAGGGTTAAGAGGATATATTTAGTTTGCTATCAGAATCAGTAAGTCATGGATGTACAAACAAAATCATTTAAAATATGCTTCCATAAAGTAACACTACCATTATGTAACGAGATCTCATCCAAGTTGTACCCATTAGGTGTAGCCACACTTGAAGGACCAATGTATGCTGTTGGAGGTCATGATGGATGGAGTTATCTAAATACTGTAGAGAGATGGGACCCTGAGGGACGTCAGTGGAATTATGTGGCCAGTATGTCAGCTCCTAGAAGCTCAGTTGGTGTTGCTGCATTAAACAACAAGTAAGTGAACCCACACATGAGCAATGAGCAATTTGTTCTACAGTCTTCTGGAAGAGAACTTCAGTGATATGTTCCATCAATCAAAAAATGTTCCCATTGAACATAAAGTAACAAAATAGGAGACTAACACCCAAGAATGGCCGAGATTAGTACCAGGGATTTTTCTCCATGGCTTGGAGGCAGCCACACATGCTAGGGGAAAAGGCAGCTCAGATAGAGAAGGGAGCACCAAATAAAGGGTGTTGGGAGGATCCTCCCAGGATGGGAGATGCATGCTGAAAGTAGACTCTAGACCAAACATGATTGCCACTCAATGCCCGTTTTGCAAACACAACAGCCAAAAGGAGAGAGAGAACAGGGGAATGCCCTGCCACAGAGGCAGGGTGGGATGGGGGAATGGGGGATAGGAGGGATACTGGGATCCATGGTGGTGGGAAATGGACACTGGTGGAGGGATGGGTATTTGATCATTGTATAATTGAAACCCAAACACAAAATTTGTAAGTCTACAACTGTACTTCATGGTGTCTCACTAAAAAAAATAAAAAAGTATATAAGGAAAAAAATAAAAATAAACAAATAACACCCCCCAAAAAACCATTCCCATTAACTACTATATTCTAGTTATGAATAATAAAATAAAAACTTTCATTGGAACCCTCTCCTAATAATGCTGCATTTTTTTTCTAAAATGGTTATTTTGTTAAGTGTTCCGTAGCTTCTTACTTTTCAATATATAGACCTGGGACAACCAGAATTGATTATTTTTGAGATATATTTAGAAATGCTGAAACATGGCCCTATATTCTATCTCCTGAATCAGTTTTGTATTAATGAGATCCTTAACTATCATATAAATTTAATAAATGTTTTCAGTGGTTAACTAGTTACAATTCTACCCTTAAAATCCACTACTTTGTGAGTTAGCCAGATAGTACAGTGGGTAGGGTGCTTGCTTGCACGCAACAGACACATATTTAATTATCAGCATCCCTTACGATCCCCAGTCCACCAAAAGAGTGACTTCTGAGGACAGATCCTGGGGTAAGACCTGAGCACTGCAGGGTATAATCCAAAAACTAACCCAAAAAAATTCTACTTCTTTTCATTATGACTAAATTTTTGACTTATACTACTTCAATTTAATAAAAGAAATAATTTTGTTCTTTCCCATACCTACTCCTGAGTAGTCCGGTTTGCTACTTCTAGCATTACATACAGCCACATCATTCTAAAGTTATTTCTTCTCAATCACTTGACTATAAAAGCAGACTAATATGCTAAACCCAGCTATGTTAGGGGTAATTAAGAACTTGAATTGTTACTTCTTCTTGGCAATTATGTGCTTCATGAAAAGGGATACATGAAAACAATAATCAGCCTATATGAAAAACTTACTTGAATGATAATAACTTTAGGCACTAGGATTAGTAACTGGCAAGAGATAGCTTTGTGTCTACACTGACTATACATAAATCCAATGTCTAAACAACCCCATTGGAAATTTTTATACATATCGCATTTGGTCCCTTGTGCAAGAAGATATATAATGTATTTATAATTAAGAGACCTTGATTATAGTTACTTAAATCTTAACATATAGCCAGGGATGACCTGAATGTTCTCAGGTAACTAAGTATATTTTAGTACCATGACAGAATAGACTGAAATAAGCACATCTGACTCATAATTTTATTTTGTTGATTTTCTATTATTCTCAGCTAAGCATGAAGGGTGATTTGGGGCATATGGTTAGGTAAGTGTTATTCTTCTTGGATTCAAGGTTAAATTTAAATTATACTTATAAAAAGCTCATAAAAAGAATTGACATTGTAAAGTTTATGAGCCAAATAAATTTCATGACTCACAAATATTCTTAGATATTTTGTTTATTCCTATTTATTTTGTTTGAGACCATATATGGTGGTTCTCAGAAACTAATCCTAGCTCTCTACAGTGGAATCATTCTAAGAGGTGCTCAGGGGACCATTCAGTACTGGGTAGTGAACTCAACCCCAGTGTACAGAACAAAAAATCAGCTAATGGAACTCTCACTCAAGTTCCTCTTATTTATTGAGTTAATGTCTTCTTACTGACAAGTGTTTTATACTAAATTAAAATTAATAAGGCCTCTGATTCTAATTATTTGAACTTAATAATATTGGAAGGTTTCTGGATTTGAAGTTTCGAAAAATCCTATTATTTAAAATTATTTATACTTAATTTTCAATACTATGAGGTATAATTGGGAAATATTGGCAGTATTTTTTATATATCAATTTGCTAAACTTGGCTTCCCACGTAAACTTTTAATTTATTAATAAATTAGTATTATTAATTAGTAATTAATGTGGAAGGTGTTGTTAGGGTAAATCTTAAGTGCCCTGAGTTATCTCTCCATTCATAAACTGAGACCATTAGACACAAAATAGTAATGGAATAGAATATATACTGAAAGACTTGAAATGTTTTGAACAATGTTCTATTTCCTTTCTATACAAAAATTGGAATTAATATAGGTGCGTAAGAATTTCTCTCTTTTTTCTAGACTATATGCTATTGGTGGTCGTGATGGAAGTTCCTGTCTCAAATCGATGGAATATTTTGATCCACACACTAACAAGTGGAATCTCTGTGCTCCAATGTCAAAAAGGCGTGGAGGTGTAGGAGTTGCAACATACAATGGATTCTTATATGTTGTAGGGGGCCACGACGCTCCTGCTTCCAATCACTGCTCCAGGCTTTCTGACTGTGTGGAAAGGTAAAATACTACTATTCTTTTTAATGTGGTTATTTCGTTTATATTTTCCAAAATGTAAAAAGGACTTTAGACTAGTATAAATTCATCTTCCAAATGTTAATCATTTCAGAAGATTATTTAACTTTCAATTTTATCATAGACTCAAAATGTCTGTACCCTCGCTTGTATATTTCATGAAAATGATAATTTCATGATTTGGTTTTTTTTGGTTATACTATAAAATAATGAGACAAACTGATATAAGAACAAAGATAATTTTATGCCAGACAATATCCCTCCATCTATTCACTAGACAAAAATAAAAACAAATTTACTGTGTGTAAAATCAAAGCTGTGTTCATCTTTTTGATGAATTGTTGGATTCCATTTGCTAATCTTTTCAGATTTGGCACAATATAATGTAAAATTCTTTCCCAGGGAGAGGTGTAAGTAGTATTTCAATCTCTTTCTACTACGTTACTTAGGTTTTGAGAAAAATAACCTCTTTTAAAAATATATACTGTTTGGGATGAATAAGTGTATTATTTTTTAAATAATTATATGATCTGTAATTATATCATTTTAAATTTCTTTCAAGATAGAAAACATGTACACAAAAGTAATGTTAAATATTAGTAACTAAATACCAGTAAAAATTACAGAAATAATTGCCTATAGTGGAGTCACTTGAAATTCATGGAGAAAAATAAGGTTTCATGTTATTATTGTTTCAGTAAAAGGGTTAATAGTGTTTAAGAAATTTATACTATTTATTTAGGAAGGTGCTAAACAATACCAGCACCTATAAGTGTCTATGGTTCTCTGTTGTCATCTCTAGCATGACATTTCTTTTTTTTCCTTTTTTTCCCCTTTTTTAAATAATTTCATTTATTGAATCACCATTAGAGCAGTTACAAAGATTTCAGGTTTAAGTCTCGGTCATACAATGAAACAGTCATCCCTTCATCAGTGTCCATTTTCCACCACCAAAAACCCCAGTATATGCCCATCCCACAACCTCCCTCTACCTGTGGGATAGATGATTTCCACATTACTCTCTCTCTACTTTGATTACATTCAATATTTCGACACTAGACCCACCATTATTATTTGGGATTTTACCGCAACACTCAGATCTGCCAAAAAGGCAACAGTAGACAATTTGTTTTCTATTTCTGGTTATGAATAACATAGGATGTTGTGAGACTGCAGTTGTGGCTGTGTGATTTTGGAATTCCAAAATTTTAACAATTAACCCTGGAGGGATTTCTGCCAAAACTTGCTGGGTTCCGAGATATGTTCCTGAGTCTCTTGGATCATGGCCATTAAGCAGCTTGATCAGGAGCCAGAAAAGCCATTGGTGGGTGACGACTCAGGATCTAGTTGGGGCGGGAAGGAAGGGGACGGCTCCACCCCCATCTGTGAGGCCCCACATGTCTCATCACTGCGGGCCCAAACCTGATCTAGAAGATGGCAGCCACAGAGCCGCCAAGGGGAGCAGAGGGACAACATCATTTCCCCCCTGGGGTGGTCTGGAGCTGGTAAACCATTGCAGGGACCAGGGGCATCTCTGCCAAAAGCCGCTGGGTTCCAAGATTTGTCTCTGAGTCTCTGGGATCATGGGCGTTAAGCAGTTCTATCAGAAAGCAGAGAGCCCTTGCCTCCAATTATATAGCTGAGGTGGTTTATGGGTGTGTCTCCCACATACCTAACTTTTAAAAATAATTATTTGTTTATTTATTCATTTTTGCCTTTTGAGTCACCCCCAGCAGTGTTCAGGAGTCACTCCTGGCTCTGCACTTAAGAATTACTCCTAGTGGTGCTTGGGGAACCATATGGGATGCTGGGGATTGGACCCGGGTTGGCCGCATACAAGGCAAACACCCTACCCTCTGTGCTATCACTCCGGCTCCACATACCTAACTTTTGGCCATTTACTCTCTTGGTAAACTTTGCCCCAAGTTGTTGGGGTCTGGCCAAAGGCACAGCAGCAAATTTGGTAAAGGTAAAGGTAAAGGCCCTCCCGTTGATCGTCGATTTGCTCGAGCGGGCCCAGTAACGTCTCCATTGGAGACTTTGTTGTTACTGTGTCTGGCATATCCAATACTCTCGGTAGCTTGCCGGGCTCTCCGAGAGGGGCGGAGGAATCGAACTCGGGTCGGCCATGTTGGCTGCTTGTAAGGCGAACGCCCTACCCGCTGTATCTGAAAGTCTGAAGGCGCCATCAGGTTGCTGGTGCACTCACCTCACAGGTAAAGATTGACCTGGTGGTGGCACCATACTCCCTAGCCTGACATTTCTTTCCCATTACCAGTCCTCCTATTATTTGTTGATTGACAGTTACTGTTTGGTACATATATTTTTTCCCTGCAATACCACTCTCATGTTTTAGGCCCTTTACCTAATCCCCGCGTAAAAGCAAGTCAGCCTTAGCATTTTCCCTACCCTCAGCACCAATCTGGTGCTGTTAAGTTTGCGATCTAATGTACATGGCTTAATATTCATTGATATTGCCCGTACTCTTGATTTGGTTTCTATATGCCACAAATAAGTGATTATCCTCTAATTTTCCTTCTGCCTCTGCTTCTGGTTTTATCCTACTTGTCATTAACTTCATGAGTTTATTATTTTCTAATAGTGTTAACTAATATGACCTTCTAGTTCCTTGATGTAAGTCTGTATTGCTCTAAACTTACTCATTAATAGTGCTTTTGCTGTGTCCCGTGCTTACAATAGTTTGTCTTCATTTTCATTTATTTCAAGGAATCATTTTTTTTTTGTTTTTTGGGTCACACCCAGCTCAGGGGTTACTCCTGGCTCTGCACTTAGGAATCACTCCTGGCGGTGCTTGGGGGACCATATGGGATGCTGGAAATTGAACCTGGGTCGGCTGCGTGCAGGCAAATGCCCTACCCGCTGTGCTATTGCTCCAGCCCCTCAAGGAATCTTTTAATTTTGTTTTTGATCCAATATTCATTGTATAGCATTTTGTTCAATTTCTAATGTTATAGCTTTTATTTTTTTAAAATATGTTGATTGAGATTTTGTGGTTTGCAGTACTATTAATGGCGGTTTCTCATACACATACTTCCAACACCACATCCATTACTAGTGTAACCTTTCCCTCACCCAAGAATTCCAACACCCCTCTCTCTCAAGTCCCCTGAACTCAGTTGTGTGGATAGTTCTCTCAGTATATTGCCTTTGGGCCTTTGTTGCTACGTTGCTGTATATCTTTCAGTCCTACGTATAAGAAAGGTCTTTTTCACGGATTTCACTCAGTATGTTACTCTCTAGTTCCATCCATATTGCTGCAAATTGCATGGTTTAGAGCTTTTTAACTTAAATTTTTGGTTAATGCCTATTTTCATGTTACTTTGGTATAAATATATTTGATATGATTTCTAATTTTTGTGGACAGTCAAATTATGTTTCAGACTGTTGTCTAGTATGGAAAATTATTACATGTGCACTGGAAAGAAGGTGTATTGGCTTTTTGGTGTGACAGGTCCTCTGTACATCTCTTAATCCCACTCCTTTTAATTCATAATTTTTGAATTCTGTTTGCTTGTTGATGTTCTTTCTGATTAACTTGTCGAATGATGAGAGCAGGATGTGAAAGTCAAACACTATCACTGTGTTTTCATCAGAGTATCTCCTCAAGTACATTAGCAGGGGCTCTATAAATATGTCTGACCTCACTCGGTGCAACTATAGTTAAAATGACAGAGTTAAGCCCATTTTAAGGAATCAGTATCCCTATCCCTTAATCTCCTACCCTGTGCCTGACTGTCTCCACCAGGGCCCAACAGCTGAAGACCTCCGGGGCCCAGCCAAGGCCATGCTGGGACCACTCTCCACACACTTGGATGAGCCTCACGCATAAAAGAACATAAAAGACATCTTATCATCTCATTCCTACTTTGGACAAACTGGCAGGCTACCAAATGTAACCTGCCCACACAGCAGAGTCTGGCAAACTCCCCGTGGTATACCTAATATGCCAAATACCAGGGCTAGGACGAAGAAGACGTTACTGGCACCTGCTCGAGGCAATCGACGAACAACAGGGTGGTCGTGATCGTGATCGTGATCCCTTAATCAGTATATATTATCCAGCCCAATCTCTTTTTTTTCATTTTTTAAATAATGTTATTTGTTGAATCACCATGACAGCAGTTACAAAGCTTTCGGGTTTAAGTCTTGGTCATACAATGAAACACCCATACCTTCACCGGTGCCTGTACTCCCCCCAAAAAACCCCAGTATACCCACATCCCACACCCCCCCCCCTACTTGTGGGGCAGAAGATTTCCACATTACTCTCTCTCTACTTTGATTACATTCAATATTTTGACACCAGACCCACCATTATTATTTGAGATTTTACCCCAACACTCAGATCTGCTGAAAAGGCAACAGTAGACAATTTGTTTTCTATTGCTGGTCATGAATAACATAGGATGTCTCGTGGCTGCAGTAGTGGCTGTGCGATTTTGAAATTCGAAAATTTTAACAATTAACTCTGAGGGATTTCTGCACAAACCTGCTGGTTATGGAAATTTGCTCCTGAGTCTCTTGGATCCTGGTCGTTAAACAGATTAATCAGTAGCCAGAAAGGCCGTACATGGGTGGCAACTCGGGGTCTCGTTGGGACGGGGAGGAGAGGGCCGGGGAGGAGAGGGCCGGAACCACCCCCAACCCGTGAGGCCCTGCATGTCTCATCACTGAGGGCCCAAACCTGACTGTCCAGTGGCCTCTGGAGGATGGAGGCCACCAAGTCCCCTACAGGGAGCATGCTGAGGGACAGCACCCTTTCCTCCTGTAATGGCCTGGCAACAGTAACATACTGCAGGTCCAGACGCATTTCTGCCAAAAGTCACTGGGCTCCGAGATTTGTTTCTGAGTCTCTGGGATCATGGCCGTCAAGCAGTTTGATCAGGAGCCAGTGAGCCCAATCGTAGATGGCGACTCGGGGTCTTGTTGTGATGGGGAGAAAAGGGCCGGCTCCACCCTTATCC